ATAACTTAGTTGTCACAGGAAGATGAAAGAAAATTATTTTTCCTAAGCATATTTATTTTTAAGAATTAGTGAAATAATTAGTGAACTAAGTAAGGGATTGGAGCTAGATGACTTGGGTTTATGTTCTAGCTTTGCCGCTTACCGGAAGGTGACCTTGGGCAAGTTACTCCTCTGTGCCTTAGCGATTCCTTTGTAAGGGAAAGTTGTAAGAATAGTATTTCCAAGAAAGAGTTACTGTGAAAATAGAAAGAGTTCATACTCTTCACCTGATCAGAAGACTGCTTAGCATAGAAAAAGCCCCTAATACCCTCAAGCTGTTATTATCAGTTTCATTATTTCTCCTACCTACCCCAGAGGGAAGGCAATGATTGATAGAAATAATCACTGATTTCACTGGGAAAACTTCACAGAATATAAAGCTGGTGACACAGGTTGAGTTTGACATTTGGAATGTGTATTATAATTCTTTCTCGCCATTGTTAGCGTTACGCCCAACTTTGCTGAAATTAAAATCTGCTCTAATGCATGGGCCCTGCTGAGCAATGTTTGATGTCACACTGAGGCCGAGCAGGGAAAAATCCCACCTCGTCGAGCACGGTTGAAAGGAACACTTATTTAAGATCGATGATTAAGTATAATAACATGATCCCCAATTCTGAGAACTGTAGGAAAAAGTCTGGGCCAGGGCGGAGACAGCATCTACACACAGGTGTGGAGAAGAGGTGGGGGAGCAGGGTGGGTGTTGATGAAAAGTTGGTCCTGAGCAGTTGGCAGTCGACATACAGATGCTGGGAAGCGAAAGGGCTGTTCAGGGACCATTTACAGAAGTTTAAAACCCTGCCTTCTCCCCGTTTCTATCTCCCCTCCACCCCCATAAAAAAGCAAAGTCTTTTCCAAAAGGAAAACAGGAAAGCTTGCTAAGAGAACACGAATGAGATTTAGGAGGAAATAGCAACTTCATGTTGATTTGCATCGGAGTTCCACATTGCTAGGGATGAGATGAAAGGCTCAGACCCGGCCCACTTATCTGTCGATCTAAAGAATAGGACAGTCATCTCCAAATGCTTAATTCTTACATAGGTTGGAGAGCATTTTATTGCTTTGTAGGAGAGAAGAGCAGTAACAGGATGTCTTTGTTTTCATTTTTCCCATATTATCTTTATTAGGATGTTAGAGATAATATCTACCCTTTAGTGGCAATGATAAATGAAAAAAATACATATACGTACACATAAAGTGATTATCACAGTGTCTGGTACATAAATCATAGCTTATTGGTAAAGATTTCTTCCCTCTACTTTGTACCAATTCCTTGACCCCCAGGAATTTTAACCTACGATTAGATTTTCAACCAACAGAAGAATGCAGCTTTCTACAAAAGCAGTCCATATTGGAAGTCCCTGATGACTTAAACATTTCCTGTCAGTGTAGATGTTTTACTCAAGCCTTCTGCCTTTTTTCCACCAATCCAAGGTTACACTTCCCCAAGGACCGTTTTTATTGATTAACTGGTGCGTCTGACTCTGCACCTGCCCTTTCTTTAAGAGAGTGCTTGGGGTGGTCAAGCACTTTTTCCTATTTACAAATTTATGGCAAATCGTAAAATACACTTATTTTTTAATTCTTATAATACACTCACTCCGTATTTCAGGAATACTAGGTTTTTAAAAGTAAAACTTTGTTGATATCTTTGAGCATAAAAAGGAGAGAAACCTAAAAATATCCACTGTTTATTCTTTTTTTTTTAAAATAATATCCTTTGATCAAAGCTGACACTGTTTATTCTTTCAGTGCATGGCTTGAAAGCTGAGCACCAACCAGCCACTTGACTAGAAAGATCTGCAACAAGCTCCAGGCTGTGCTAGAACCAGGAGGTTTCAGTCCTCCAGTTCCTGTGAAGATTGAGGTTCAATGAATCACCAGGTGCTGACTGGCTGGGAAATAGAGGAATGGATCCCAGCGCTTTCCCACTCCTCCCTCTGACTCACAGACAACTCTGGCCTTCCCTATAGGTTGCTAAGCAAGGAAAGATCAGAAGATGGCTTCGAGTCTTCATCTGAATCATAGGAAACAACTGTAGCCTATGCCTACTCTGAATTTACCGTGTTTTGAGTGGGGAAAATGTCACATTTCACACTGATGAGCCACCAAAAAAATAAGACCTCGATGATTAGGTAAGTGAAAAATGATCATTTGGAAGATCGACCTATTTTCCTACAAAACCAGGAAGAGCAGAACGTGAACACAGAGCAATAGTCTTTAAGTAGAGAAAATAGCCCTTGAATCTGTGTAGTGCATTTGTCTAAGGAGGAGAGTAGCAAGGAGTGCAGGAAATAAGGATAACTTGGTCTAAAATTTGGGAAAAACTGTCACTAAACCTCGATCATTCAGACTTCATTCGGATGGACTTCATAAAACTTTAGACCCTATCAATTCATACTGGTAAAAGAGGAAATGAAATTTTGTGGTGGGGAAGTGTATGTTCTTAATAAAAACCAAACAAACCAAAGCAAAACCCAATGTATTGCTCAAGTTAAAAAACACTTAGCAGAATGTACATACAATCAATATTGTTAGGGAATCAACTTTATTTATTTACTATGAGATCCGGCTGGAAATTACTGGGCAGAAGATATCTATTGATTAGCTCTTTGTGAGGATAATAAAGAACAGAAGATGAACTGAGCTATGTCTGTAAGTTAGGCTAGTTTCTCCTAAATACTTTAACGGGACTATATACTATTTTTGCCTTAATTCTTGTTTGGGAAGTAAGCCAAAGTTATGATGGTAAAAAATAATTATATCTGTGTCTGAAGGACCACGAGACTGAGATATACAGTGTTAAAATTTTTATTTTTCATGTAAAATTAATACTAGAAGGAGCAAGCTTTAAAGATTTAACACTGAAACTCAATTCTGGGCTCAAGTCTTCGCATTTGTCAAACAGAGGCAATAATACTATTTTCCTCATAGGACTACGGGGAAGTATGAAATAAATAATTCATTTACATGGCTTGGAATAGTACCTCCTATTTAATCTATGCTAGTAATTGCTACCATTATCACTATTATTTTGTTCTTTTCTTTTTTTTTTTTTGGAGACAGAGCCTCAAGCTATCCCCCTGGGTAGAGTGCCGTGACTTCACAGCTCACAGCAACCTCCAACTCCTGGGCTCAAGCAAGTCTCCTGCCTCTGCCTCCCAAGTAGCTGGGACTACAGGCACCCGCCACAGCACCTGGCTATTTTTTGGTTGCAGCCATCATTGCTATTTGGCAGGCCCGGGCTGGATTCAAATCCGCCACCTTAGGTGTATGTGGCTGGTGCCTTAGCCACTTGAGCCACAGGCGCCGAGCCTATTATTTTGTTTAGAATCATTTTTTAATCTGTAGATCCTGATTTCCTGAGCAACTATAGGATAAGCAATGTTTTCTCCAACTTTGAGGGTATCGTTATCCTCAAAGAATCATGGGATTTTCTTTCACTGGTTCCCCTTCTTTGCCGGGGACAGAGACTATCTCATTAGAAACAAAAAGTGTTTGAGCCTTGAGAATGAATTATACTTTGACTATCCTTTAAATGTCAAACTAGAAAAGAAATACCTTGGGTAAGTTTCACTTTCGCTGTACACCATCTATGCAGTGGAGAGGGAAAGGATTGGCGTTTTGGAATTTAGTTTACCCTTTGTAATTGTTTCTTTTACCCTGAGCACTTTTACTTACCTTACCATAAAAGAGGAAAAGTAGAGGAAGTAAGTTGTGCCTGGAAGGCAGCAGTTTGACAAGGAAAACAACAACAACAAAAACAGGGGAAATTGGGAGGCAAATGGTGAAATGTGCAATGCTACCTTTACAGACATGATGCCACTTTTTTTCAGATTTTATACAATGTGGTGGTGTCTTTCTCTACCGAGTTACAGTAGATGTTTCTGCACATCGAAGCTTTCTCTACCATGAGAGATAAATGGAAATGTGGTGTAGCTCACTTGGATAGGAGCCATGTGAGTTATTTCTTTCATAAATCTTAAGATGGAGATGCTATCATTTCTCCCTTTGCAAATGATTATCTTTCTATATTTTAAAAATACATCTAGACAGCTTTAATTTTTCCATATTTATTGATGCCAGAGGCAATCCACGGTTTACAAGGCCTCAGCTAGAATGGAGTGTTCGTGAGCTCGGCAGCAAACACAACTGACTGGCCATCTTCCTAAGTGCCCAGTGACCAGCGGCTTCCTGGCACTGGTTGATCGATGGAAAGATGGTGATTTTGTAATCCTCTGTGGATTGCCTCTGGCAACAATAAATATATAAAAATTAAATTATTTGCAAAGAGAGAAGTAATAGCATTTCCATCTTAAGATTTATGAAAGAAATAACTCAACTGGTTCCTATCCTAAAACACACTATCCTGCACTGAATGGGTATATTCCTTTGCCTTGTAAATTACATGACATCACCCTGAAAATTTTGGTGCTTACAAATTCTTTAGAGCACCATATGAATTACAAAAACATTGCAGTTTTTTTTTTTTTTAGACAGAGCCTCAAGCTGTCCCCCTGGGTAGAGTACTGTGGAGCTCACAGCAACCTCCAACTCCTGGGCTCAAGTGAGTCTCCTGCGTCAGCCTCACAAGTAGCTGGGACCACAGGCGCCCACCACAATGCCTGGCTATTTTTTGGTTGCAGCCATCATTGTTGTTTGGCAGGCCCAGGCTGGATTCAAACCTGCCACCTTAGGTGTATGTGGCTGGCGGCTTAGCCACTTGAGCCACAGGCGCTGAGCCAACATTGAAGTTTTGTTGCAGTGTTTTCATTTTGTTTTGTTTTGTTTTTTCAGATGATTCCAAAAACAAAAGGTTTATCAGTCCACAATAAATGAAGGTGAACCTCTGAGAACTACATAATTAAAAATAATAAATGCGGTGGATGGGAAGAGGCTGGGTGTTCTATGAAAGTTTTCATGCCGATAGAACCCGAGCGTAGATAATGTGGAACGATTACCTGTCCCAGGGATTGCCAGTCTAAACCGGCACTGCCGATGTACACGTGCTGTTTGTCCACTATCCAGAAGGAGGACTGCAGCCGGCCCTTGTTGTAGGCGGTCATGTTCATGTACGTCACCTCAGCTCCTGGGAATTAAGGAGACCCCGGTCAGCCTCTGCCACTTGTCACAACCGAGATTTAGAAGCCAAATATTCACATTTGTTTGGTGCAGAAAAGCTTTCCAAGGTGCTACTTTGCCCCCCACCAGCCCCCCCCAAAAGAAAGACTTTGATGTTTATGTGAGTAGCCCACTCTGTACCTAGTCACAAGACCAAGGCTTCTCAAGTCAGACAGACCCGTGTCAAAATCCTGGCTCTCTCCCTCGCCATCTGGGCAACGAGGTAGGTACACCAAGCTCTTTTACTTTTTCTTTTGAAATAATTTTTTTTTTAAGATTTTTTTTTTTTGCCAGGGATGGGTTTGAACCTGCCACCTCTGGCATATGGGGCCGGCGCCCTACTCCTTCAAGCCACAGGCGCCACCATTTTTGAAATAATTTTAATACAGTTTTGTAGTTAATAAAAAGATCAGTCTTCTTTCGTCTTACAGCTCCCCTCAACAAGACCTTGGCCTTCTTATGCTTTCTGTACGTTATTTCGTCCTTTTACCCTTCCACTCGTTTTCATTTCTGCATTTCCCACCCTTATTATTCCATTTGGATTTGGTCTGTTCTGGGCTTTTTCTGATAGTCTTCATTTCAGCAATGATTATTCAAGCTTTACTAAAATGCAACCTTGAATGGTTAACTAGCTCACACAGACTATTGTTATTACCAAAAACACTTCGAAGAGCTGAATTGGACCAATTGTTTTAAGCTTCACATGTCAGGATTCACTGACAAGCCTTTATGTATGGCTGCCTCAAAATGCAATCACAGCCTCTCTAAAGGAGCATACAATCCATTCAGTGCAAGGCCATTTAAATACATTTCTCCTAAAGATTCATTTTCTTTAAAAGAACATACGTGGATGCATATATTTAATAAACTAAGCTAGTCTGCCTTCAGATAGTCATTATGAAGGGAGATAATAAGAGTCCAGAGACATATGCGCTGTCAGAGTCTTCCTTACCACTGGAATACATAATATTGTGCGCAGAAGGATTTAGTTTGGGATATGAGAAGGGACGAGGAGTAACACGATGATCTTAACCCCTATTTCTTAGGAAAAGATGAATGATGCATCCGGCCTCCTTGCAGTATGGGGATGAAAAGACTAGGTTATGGGGTTCAGAGAGGCTCCGAGGGGAAGCGAGCCCGGGATGACTGTCTCTGAGGGTGGAGAAGGTTCCTCGTCCTGGAAGGCGGGGTATGTGCTCCTCAGCCTCTAGCGCTCCAGGATAGTAACATCCGGGTAAGAGTTACAGACCCCTGAGGACCCCTGGGTACTGCAGAATCTGAGTGTCCAAAGTGGGTGGTCACCATGGCAATTACAGGGAGAGGCGGTGTGTGGGGTGGCGGGCTGCAGATCAGCAGGTGCCAGGGCCGCTGGGCAGGTAACAGTTGCATCGCTGTTTGCACTGGTTCCCAAGGGCGGCCAGAACAAAGGCTGGCACACTGGGTGACTTCAGACACAGAGACTTAAACCGTCTCAGTTTTGGAAGTTAGAAGTCCAACATGGAGGTGTCTACAGGGTCGCACTCCCTCTGAAACCTGTAGGGGACAGTCTCTCCTGCCCTTCCCGTGGTGGCCACCCGTGTCCAGCATCCCTGGCCCTGCAGCTCCAGTCTCTGCCCCCGCTGTCACATGGCATCTCCCCTTGGTGTCTTTGCCTTCTGATCGGGGAGCTACTCATGTTGGATAAATGGACACCCCGCTATAGAATGAGGACCTCATCCTAACTAATCACATCGGCAACAACCCTGTCTCCAAATAAGGTGGCGCTCCGCAGTACTGGGGCTTACGTCCTCTAAAATTCAACCTGTAACAGAGACCTGGGTCACCTTAACTGGCCAGGAGGAAGGGAAGCTTCTTCTCTTGTCTCTGGAAAGAAGAGAATGAAAGCGACTTTGGTGTTTGTCGCGGATTCCGTGGGGCCTTCATTTAGAAGCCCCTTGAACCCTCTGCGACCCTGGCTAGCCTGCCCCAAGGCGGAGCTCTCTTGGTCAGGCCATGCTGGGTTCTTAGAGGTCTCATCTGCCCTCCCTCAGGTCCTCTGCAGCCCCTGCCCACCACGAGGCAGCGCTGAGCTACCTGAAGGGCAGGGAACTTCCCCTGTGGACCTCCCATCCCACACTTCGTGGCCACCACCCTGAAGGTACCGGTTACTTTACTTGGCAATTTCAAGGGTTGATTTCAAAGACCACCGGTCTCAGGTAACTCTCTAGCCAGAGCCTCTGTAGCTACTTATCAATGTCTAAAATGATGATGAAGATTTTTTTTTTCCTGAGCCAGGGTCTTACTGCGTTGCCCAGGCTGGAGTCCTGCGGCATCATCACAGCTCACTGCAACCTCCCACACCTACACTCAAGCAGTCCTCCCGCCTTAGCCTTCTGAGTAGCTGCGACTATAGGCATACATGACAGTGCCAGCTAAATTTTTAGTTTTTTGTAGACGTAAAGTCTTGCTATGTTGTCAAGGCTGGTCTTGAAATTATGGCTTAAGTAATCCTCCCACCTTGGCCTCCAAATCCAGTTCTAGGATTACAGGCATGAGCCACCATGCTTAACCTTAAAATGATTATTTTCATAAATGAACACATACTTTTGGCAAGCCCTGTTTGAATATTCAGTATATACCAGATGCTGTGGCACACTGGGGATAACAGACGGAAAGTGACTGATTGAAAGTCAAGCATGCTAAAGTATTGTCTCAAGTCAGTTATAAGCAACAGAAATTTATTTCCCACTGTTCTAGAGGCTGGGGAGTTCAAGATCAAGGTATTGGCATATTTTCTGTCTGGTGAAGGTCTACTTTCTGGGTCATAGATGGTGACTTCTCACTGTGTCTTCACATGGTTGAAAGGATAAGGGATCTCTCTTTGGTTTCTTCTTATAAGGGACTAATTCTCTCTGCTGCCCTCATCACTCACTCATCTGCCAAAGGCCTCACCTCCTGATACTATCGCTCTGGGGGTTAGATCTCAGCATATGAATTTAGGTCAGGGACATAAACACACAGACCACAGCAGGGTAACCTTGAAAATGACCAGGATCTGCTCTATTCCTGCTGCTCAGACAGCCCGGCCACTGAGGATCTGAGTTCAGAAAGGGGAGTCCTCACTGATGTATCAGGGAATCCCAAGTGAAGGCCGAGAGCAGGAAGGACAATGAATGGTGCCACAGTTCTGCCCAGGGCCAGAGCTGCCTGTACAAAAGCAAGGGGAACTGAACTTGAGATCAAGCCTTATGTAATAATGGTCATTCCCATTTGTTGAACACCTCTGTGGGCCTATGCTTGGAGATATATATATATATATATTTTTTTTTTTTTTTTTTTTT